ACCTGGTGGAAGGAAACACAAAGGGGAGGGCGGGAAGTCAGAGACGTGGTGGATAGAACATTATAGTGTAGACAGATATTTCCCTGGGGATAGAACATTATAGTGTAGACAGATATTTCCCTGGGCTGCCAGCTCCCAACTAATGACACAGACACTTCTTATTAGTTACGAAGGCCCGGCCTTCAGCTCAGGCTTGTCTCAACCAGCTATTATAACTTAAATTAACCTCATTTATATTAGATTACGTTCCGCCACGCGGCATTACCTCCTTTCCATCTTGCACATCCTGCTTCCTCTCCCTGCCTGGCTAGCATCGCCTTTCTCTTTTCCCAGAGTCCTCTGTGTCCCCAGAAGGACACCCCCCACCTCCTCCCGCCTAGCTATCGGCCATCCAGCTCTTTATTAAACCAGCCACAGTGACGTATCGTCACACCGTGCACAAACACGCCACAACATGGGGCGGTGAGGTTCCAGGGAGACCCATGTGTTAGCAAAACACAAAAAGGCGCGTCCAAGGACCAAGGCAGCAGACCGCCCAGGCATGGACAGTGTTCCCAAGGATAACTCCAGGTCCCAAGGAGCAGCTTCCCACCCGCGATGCACACACAAGCTGGCAGCTGTCATCTGAGCTGGGTCTTCTTCCAGGGAAAGCTTCCAGGGGCCAGTCTTTGGCGTTCCAGGGACTAGAGGCAGGCTGAGGACCGTGGGGGTAATGACAACGGGAACTCACCTTGAAGGCGAAGGTCTCCCCAAAGTGTGGATTCAGGGTCTGCCGGTGCACCTTGGTCTCATGCCGCCTCCGCTTGTCTGGCAGCAGATAGACACTAACGTAGGGGTCCGAGGTACCTCCTAGGTCCAACGCTGCCAGTCCTTCGGCTTGCAAGATCCCCACCAGGAGCTGCAGGTGTCCAGACACCGATGAGGGACTCTCGTTTCAGCCTCACTGCCAGGGTCTCCACTACGAAGGGAGGGCTGGAGCCCCTGGGACCCTCCCGCTTCCAAAGCATTTTTTTCCTCTCCCTCACACCCACCTGGCCAGTCTGGAAGTCATAATCCAATGAATACTGCAGTCGTCCCAGCTGGTGCTTGTCTGATACCTGCTGTCCTGGCATGGATGGTGAGGGGTCCAGCTCCTCTATTTCAGGCTGAACCTGGAAAGCCAGGAGCAAGAAGGTAGAGTCTTCCCCCGAAACTAGTACCTTCCAGGCTCGGAAACCTCAAGAGGTTCCCAGATCGCTCCCTCTTCTCTAAACTTGTTTGATTGGTAATGTCTGGAACAAGATATGGTAACAGAAAGGCAAATTATCTGTCAGCATTTGATTAGTGATGTCTGCTATGGGAATAGATATTGTGAGATACACTCTGGGACTGTTTCATGCCTACATGTCCTAATGAATGTATTGGGATAACAGAACAAATTGCCACCTTTGATCTTGCAACAGGAAAATACAAAGGAGATATTTACCATGGGCTTAACATTTAGCATGTAAGTTTTTTTTTTAACCTAGGCCATAGATTCTCAAAGTGAAGTCTCCATCACAGATGAGTGGCAAAATACCGAGGTCGCCTTGTTAGGTGTTCTGATTCACTAGGTCTAGTGACATTGCATCCAAAATTTACATTGCACAACCAAGTTGGAGGTGATTCTGACACAGATGGCCTTTGAAATCACCTACTTAAGGGACAGGAATGGAGGCTGGGTTGTTCCGGGACCCCAAAAAGAATCCCTGTAGGTAATAATTATAATAACAGCTACTTGTTGAGAAAAAAGGAGAGATATGAGCTGATTGCCTTGAACTGGAGGCTCACACAGATGAAAAAATGGTCCCCGGGGCTGGAAACCCAAGGCTGCCTGGCCTGCATTCCACTCTGCACTCAGAGGCCAGATTCTACCATAGCCTTTTAATTGTTTAATACTTGATTATTTTTTTTCAAGACAGGATTTCTTGTCTTAAAAAGCTTTCCAGCCTGTCCTGGAACTAGCTCATGTAGACCAGGCTGGGCAGATATGTGCATATGAGTGCCTGTGCCAATGGGAGCCAGAGGCATTGGATACCCTGGAGCTGGAGTTACAGGTGTTGTGAGCCATCCTACACAGGTGCTGGGGACAGAACTTGGTCCTCTGGAAGAGGAGCAAGTGCTCTTAACCACTGAGACATCTCTCCATAGCCCCTAGGCTTTTATATTTGAAGGATCAGTCTAAGTCATCCATGGTATTTCCTCTGTGTGTGTGTGTGTGTGTGTGTGTGTGTGTGTGTGTG